ACTTCAGGTTTTATTATGATAGCACTGCATTTCTAGATACCAACTTTTCTATCGTGATGGGGATGGCTGGATTACCTGCTTTTCACATCCAACAAGGTAACTGGGCTTGTTCACATGAGGGTGTCAGAATTCCAAGAGCAGGGAAACATCAAGACCTCTCAAAACAGGTTGACCACCTACACACGGCCACTTCTAGCACCATCAGTCCCACCACATTCTAGTCACCGGGAGAAGCCATAAAACCAACCCAGAAGCAAGGACTAGGGAAATAAACTCCACCTCTTGATGGGGGAAGTTACAAAATCATATTGTAAATGATATGGATTTAGAGAGGAGTAAAGAATTCAAAACAAGGAAAGATTCATTTCCAATCAGCTTGATATGGGGGAATATTCCAGACTTTCTGGAAAAGTTTGTATATAATGAAAATATCATATTCTTAATCTAGGCCTAGCAAGGAAGGTTCAACTAAAGTATCTATCGTAGTATTTATTTAATTTCTCTGATGACCAGGCAGGTATTTTACATAAAGGCCTTTAGAAAGTTATAATTATGTAAAAGGTTTTTATAAGTTATATTGTTGAGAGTTTTTTCATTTTGACCTGTTTCTCAAATTTATTGACATAAAGTTTTTTTTTTATCTCCTAGTCTTCTACTCCTTGGCACCTATAGTTATATCCTATCCTAATAATATTAACTTGCACTTTTATTTTTTCTTTCACTTATTCTTCATTTTTATTATTATCGACCTTGGCGAGGGTTCTGCAGTTGTATTCATCTTTCACAAGTCTGTTTTTTTTTTTATTTAATGAGACTGTTTGTTTTCTACATCATTAATTTCTGCTTTTTATGATTTCTCCCTAATAGTACTTTCTCCCTCATGTCTCTAATAAAGCCCTGCTCTCACTGAATAGCTGGAATAGCTCTGCTTCCTTGGATGTACGTTCTCCCAATATTCATTAAGTTTTTTAACTTATCTTCCTAGTCGCAACACTCATCAAATAAATACTGAATGACTTTTTTTCTAGAGCTTTATATTTATATATGATACTTGGCTTCATCCTGAAAAAAAAAAATCATACATCAATGAGATTCTGTTTCAGTTTACAATGCCCCCTTTGCCCTCCCCATTTTCCTTCCCGTTCTCTCTCCCCTCCCCTGTTCTCCTTTCTCTACTCTGCCTGACTTCCTTTATTTATTTACATTTGATTGGTTCTTCCTACTTCTACTTAAAGGTGAAATCTCCTGTGCTGTATTTGTATGTGCACATAACATGATTGTTTAAAAGAATTCATTCACATTTTTCCATTTTTCTTAATAATCTAGATTCCTTATCACTCTACCTTCTATACCTGTTCTGCCAAGAGTCTGGCCACTTAAACAGACTCTTCCTTCTTAGTCACCACCTTGTCTCTCTAATAAAAACTCTTTACTCAGTGTCCTTGTGTAGAGGCCGGCACTCTTATCACCTCTTCCTGACCAAATAAAGAAGAGGAAAATGCCAGTTCTAAGCCACGTGGATGCTGTCACTATGATATCTCATCTAAGTACTCGAGGATCAACCCGACTCCCAACTTCTACAGCCACACCCCACCGTAGAAAGTCCTGAGCTCGTGTCCCTAATCTGATCCTATCTAATCTCTTCTTTCTGGAATTCTTACCTGGCCTGATCCTCTATAACCTATTCTCTTTATTTTCTGAGACAATTGCATGTTGATCTTATTTCTTTAATTTCTTTCTTTATTTTGCTTTCAGTTGTCGACGGACCTTGATTTTATTCATTTATCTATGCAGTGCTGAGAATCGAACCCAGTGCCTCACACATGGAAAGCAAATGCTCCACCACTGAGCCACAATCCCACTCACTGTTTCTTTAATTTCTAAGGATTTATTTCAGGGGGGAGATCTACAGAGTGTGTTCAGTCCATAATCTAGAAACACAAGCCCCACAGCTTTCAGAGTACACCAGAACTAAGAACTGTACTCCACCAGTGTGAACAGCATCCTAATGGGCCTGCAGAACTTCACTCATTACAACAGGACAGTGATCAAAATCCACCTTGAAAATCTTAAATCCTTAAGACAAATGTTGTAAATCTTTATTATCCTCTGTTGAAGAAAACAGGACACTATGAAACCCAACTTAGAAGATACCTTATTTCTCCCTCATTTCTGATATTTCTCTTTCCTATGCCCGTCAATCAAAATATACTCAAATCTCCAGATCCACAGGACCCTCAGGTTTCTGTCCCCAGCCCTTTCCTACCCATCACCACCAGACCTCCTGAGTGTAGCTGAAGGTCACTTCACAATTCACTCCCCGACCTACCACCAATGGTTTCTGTGTCTTCCCAAAACATGTCTGAAATGTCATTAAAAATTGTTCAGTGCCTGCCGGGTGCAGTGGCACATGCCTGTAATCCCAGCGGCTCTGGAGGCTGAGAAAGGAGGATCATGAGTTCAAAGCCAGCCTCAGCAAAAGCAAGACACTAAGCAACTCAGTGAGACCCTGTCTCTAAATAAAATACAAAATAGGACTGGAGATGGCTCAGTGGTCGAGTGCCCCTCCGTTCAATTCTCAGTACAGAAAAAAAAAAATTGCCCAGTTTCTTTTTTTAATTCATTTCAGTAGTACAGCTTCATTTTTGTTACAATTCCCACCTCCCCATTAAAATTAGTGTTTTTTCCTCTTCCCATTCACAGCATGTCACCACAGTCTTAAGACTGTAGGAACAGCACTTGTCTCAGACTTCTTTGTCTTCCATGTCCCATCATTACCATTTACTGGATAAATGACTTCTGGCCTCTGTTTCTCGTCCTGAAATGGTGATACTACAGTTAGCATCGCCTCATAGGTGTTCCTGAGGGTTACACAAAGCAGATAGAACAGCGCTAGATTGTAACTGTTACTAGTAAATGTGGTAGTCGTCGACTACTAACTCCAAACTCCTTCTACTCCATCCTTTGTTCCCTGAGGGAAGGACTCTGTCTTCCTCATCTTTGTCTCCTTTAGATAAAATAGCAAATGGCTAAGCAGAGAAAGCCATGAGAACTTCTACTTCAAGATGAACTGAGTACACCTTTTGTTTTTTGAGCTGAACTCATCTTAACTACTTGTATAAAGCTGATCAAGCAATGATCCTATATTCTGGTTTCAGAGTGATATAGGTTTTAAAGATGAGTGGTATAGGCAGAAATATTTTTATAACATTCTCTAAATTTCAAAGGGGCTTTAAATTTCTGGTCCAAAGCAATTTTTATTAAAAAAAAAAATCCTATCTTCTATCTTTTGTCCTTTTTCTCCCTAAACAGCAGGGGAGAAAAAAACAATATGTGAACTTGTTGTTAATCGCTGTGCTGCCGAGTTTAACTTTTCATGAGCTAAACTGGAGACTTTTCAACATTGACTTATTTTCTGTTGACAACAACCACTGTGCAGTATTCTTTTCTTCTTCTGTCCAGGGTAAGCTGCACTGACTAAGACTCCTGGCCTACATATTCTTGCTGAGGCCCATTGACCATTCCCCAATTATTCTATCACTCGTATGAGTCAGGAACAACAGAACACCCCCACGAGTTAAGTAAAGCAACTTCATTACTCACACATAGGCAGAGTGGGATGACACAAATCTAGGATTCAAGGCAAGCTGGCCCTCCAAGACTCAGACTCATCTTCCCAGGGCAGATGGAGTCTTGTCTATCAATGCCCACTCATCTCCCTGCAGTTGATAGACCCAGCAAAACAGGACATTCTGCTCTAGGAGAGATAGAGGAGTTGCCCAGGTGGTTCTAGCCAGTTCCTCCCTATCTCAGGATGTTGAATTTCCAGAACATTCTGTAGTGATTCTTGAATTTATAGTGATTCTTGAGAACCACAAGCAAGAAAGAAGGGAAGACCTGGGTCCCTAAGGTCATCCAGGATTTGTCCCTCCTTTCCTAGTAGACTGGATGGTAGTCACTGATACCGCTGAACAGAGTCCCTTAGAATATAAAGTCTTGGGACATTTGCAGGACATTTTATGGAAGTTAAACGATAGGTCTCTCCATGCTTGTCAAAAGCTGGTGTAGAGAGTTTCCATGCCTGACTTATTGTGCTACTGTTTGAAGTCAAAACTCCATAGAACTTCTGTGTTCGCTACATCTGGAAAAGGAGACTTTTAAGGCATTATTTACCATACTGACAACACAAACGACAGAAGAAAAGAACCACTGACCAAACCTAAAGGAAATTAACGTTGAGTAGCTCCTCTGGCGTCTGCCTGGGTAGGTGGTACTGCCTGTATTTCTATGAAAATCAATTATTGCTCAAAGGTTGAGGTTTACAACCAGACCTTAGAAATGAGACTGTGGAATCCCTCTTCCATCTGAACCCATCTGTCTTTTTTCTTTTAGAAATAGCTCCAATAGCGTTTCTTACATATTATTTGATTAAAGAACCATCTAGGAAAATCCTTTGTTCAGTCACTTGTTATTTATGTGTTCTAGGTCTTGTTTTTAAAAACAACTTAATCTGCTTTAAAATTTTCATCAGGATAGAGAAAAGATCACTTGACCCAACCACAGTCCTGAAGAAGTGATTTCTTTTAGAAGCCCAAAAGCCCGTGATTTAACAGGGAAGGAGCCCTTGTGGCTGCCGCCTCCTCTTCCTTTTGTGATTTTTTTCTTCAAATAACTTGATCACAAATATGTACTGAAAAACCACCATGTTTGCCAAACTCGGACCTTGTGGCTTTAAAACACTGGACAACTCTCTTTTATTATCTACTTTTGACCTAAAGCACTAATGATAAGGAAATAATTCTAGGAGTTTCCAATTCTAACGGAACCTGAAGATAAGACTGAATGTCTATAACATTTTCCCAAAGGAGAAAAAAAAGAAAAAAAAAAAGCAAGTTTGACCAGAGTGAAGAAAAGAAGCCACTGTCAGGGTCCATTTTGTGATTCTGCTGGGAAATTCACTTTTTTTGCTTTTTTCTGTTTGGGCTTCAGAAACTGCTCACCTGCCATTTCGTCTGTGGCTTAAGGATGCAGAAAAAATGATGAATCTGGTCGCACCCTCGGAGGCGTTCATCAGGGATGCTACAGGCCCCAACTAGCTGAGATCTTCCTGACCACAGTGAGACCATGGCCATCCCAGTGCTGGCCCTTCCTGGCTCAAGTTGTAGCTCTAAACTACACTCTCTTGAGCAAATCCTCCGGCTGTCACAGCAATGTCTCACGGCTGAGTCAGCCAGGTCAGCTGAATGGGGACTCCGTGTGTCTGTTTTGAAAAAAATATATTTAGTTTTTCTCCTGTCAAAGACATCTAGTGAAGTTGCCTAAGCACTTTGGTCTTTCCAGCATTGGAATCGGTTGCCATGGTAACAGATATTCAAAGATAGGGACCTACCATTTTATATTAGAATATGTTTCTCCCCACTTCCCACAAGCTTACACATTTAGACACTCTGGGCTCTGGAAATGTGGGCACAGGTACAAGTAAGATTTTAACCTTCATACCTCTTTGTTTTCCCTTTTTTTTTTTTTTAATTAAAAACTCCACATTGCACTCAAAAATTTGGCCATACATAGTATTATGTCATTGGTGTTTAATAAGACCTGAAAACACTAAGACCACAGTCACAGTGACTATGGAGAGGGGGGAAAGCTTCAGACTGTGTCGCTTGTTCCCCAACTGCACTTCAGATGAAATTAAAACTACACAACGCTATCGACTGGTCATCCCGAGACAAAGAACAAAAGCTTAATCACATATCTAGACAGGGCAATTAGAGTCAAGACCACAGAAATCTAATTCTCCAGGCACATCCGTGCATAATGACCACTTTTGGAAATGCAGTCTATACTGAAAAGACTCAGTGTCTGTATAGAATCTGGGCTTTTTAATTATGAGACATTTCACAGGAGGAAGATGTCGGGGCTAGAGATGAATCCAGCAGGCCATGGGAGGAGGACTTGCCCTCTCCACACACTCTGGAACTGGTAGATCTCAACCTTTCTTTTGTTTAAAAAAAAAAAAACCTTACACAGTACTTTCCCAAGAATTCACTGCAAAACTGCTCTCTAAAAAGACATTTGGCAAAATAGAATAAAATAGGGTGTGAAACCAGAAAGACCAGTTCAAATACTTAGCTCTGCCTCTTACCAGATGTATGTGTTGAGCATGTTACTTATCCTCTCTGAATCTCAGCCCTCCTTTGGGATAAAAAATATCTATCTGAAATGAATTTTCATTTTATAACCCATAGAAACTCCACATAGAAAACATCCAGTTCAGGAAGGTCTTATTAATGTTCATTCTTTTGCATTCTCCTGTCTCCATCAGGAATCCCTGTGTTTGAAAAAACAAGTTCTTGCCCGGTGCCGTGGTCCAAACCTGTAATTGAAGTGGCTCAGGAGGCTGAGGTGGGAGGATCACGAGTTCAAAGTCAGTTTCAGCAAAGCAAGATGCTAGGCAACTGAGTGAGACCCTGTCTCTAAATAAAATACAAAATAGTAGGGCTGGGGATGTGGTCCAGTGCCCCTGAGTTCCATCTCCAGTACCCAGGGCTTGGGGGGAGGAAAAACAAGTTCTCTCTCTTTTTTAATGGTTTAATGGTCTTTCAGTTTTGGGAGGTGGACCACAGGGACCTACCTAACCACAGCCTCCAAAGTATGGTCTCAGCTAGGGGAAATGTCTCAGAATTAAAGGATTCATGGGCAACTAGTCATCATTGATAATAGGCCCTCACCTCCTTAGAGAATCGACCAGAAGACCACAAAAACCTCACACTTTAAGAGAATCAGCACTTCTTACACTTAGAAACTGAAAGATTAGAAATGACAAGATGACTTCAGGGTTCATCCAGCTCCTCTGAGAAGCAGACACCGAGATGAATTAAGTGTGCAAGACATTTATCAGGGGAGACACCTGTGGGGGAAAGTCAGGAAAGGTGCATCTCAGGGAAAGAGAGGAAAGGAAAGGAGAGAAGGAGCTTGGGTGGAAGTTCCCGGACTGCCCTGCGGGACTCTGGAGAGTTTCAAGCCAAAGTCAGTCTTCGGGGAATCCCTGTCTACTGGGAAGGCCTGTCTCTGTGTCCCTGCCACACTCAGCGGCTGGCCTTGGAAGCCTTGTTACTTATCAAAGAGGTGAATTCTCACACCTACCCCAGCTTCTAATTCGGTTTCACATTCTTTCCAGTTGTAAGCACAACCTTAAATTAAAAACTTAGATATTTCAAAAAGGAGTGTTTAGATATACAAAGCCAATCTGTGAATTAATGAGGTCTTTGTAGGAAGCGACCCATAAACAGACAGCTTCTAGTGTCCCTGAGCCCGCTCTGCCTACAGCCCTTGCCACACAGGGGACCTTCAGGGCCGACAATCAGCACTACTGAGCACCTTTTCCCCCTGCCCTTCTCCACCTGTCTCCTGCAAGAAGCCTTCCTCCTCAGCTGCCTTGACAGCGGCTCTGCACCCTGAACCTCTCCCAGGTTTCACCCCCATCTTCACGTCCATCTTCAGCTCAAACTGGCTTCATTCCAATGATATAAGGACTAATGAGGAGTATTAGTTAACACTTGCTGCTGTGATAGGTAGATTCCAAAAGTTCAGAGGCTGCATGCAATTGAAATTTATATGTGGTGTGTCCTCAATCCAAGCAGACAGCCTCGGACACAATGAGCCAGGGCCCTACACTTGGTCCACCCAGTAAAGACTTTAGGACCTTCTCTACCAGCCACTGGACAGAAGAGAGTGAAGGAATTCCTGAGAAGGTTGTTACAGGCCAGGCCTGCACATGGAATCCATGACTTTCCCCCATATTTGTTGTCTGGAACAAATTACATGGTGATATCAAACTGCAAGAGAGGCTGGGAAGTGTCGGCCAGTTATGTGTTCTTCTAGAAGCAAGAGTAAGGTTGGCAATTCGCCATCTCTGCTGAGAAGCACCCAGTGCTGGGGCCTGAGGGTTCTCTTGGACTAACTCTGAGTCCTACCTCTCTCTGTGCAGAGCTACAGTCTTGTCTTAAAAGGTTTCTGAAGTTGGTTTCAGAACCTACTCACAAAACTCTGAGCTGCTTAAAAAGCTTAGCTTTGGGCATTTAGTAAATGTTTTCAGGTGGAAAATTTCTTTGAGAAATTGTGTTTTGAGTTATAAACAACCTATTTATAAACAGACTTCAGTAAGAAAGCCCATCTGTAAATTAGGAACTGAATACAAATGCGTGAGCCTAAACGCATATGTTCTATTTTGCGAACTCTTGGGCGAGGGTGAAGTTGGCATGAGGTAATTGGTGATTGGCACTCAACCTCTAACAAGATTACACACTTGCCAGCAGGGAGGAGCGGGGCAGAGGCATGTTAGGAACTGGCTGTCCGTGATCCCTTGCCATTTTCTCTGTGCAGTTGAGAGTCTGCTGTAGATCTGTTGCAGGTCAGTTTAACACCATTCAGTGGATGCTTTACTTCTGTGAGTTTTGTGACAATGCTAACTGATGAATACCATCTTCCCTTACTCTCCCATGGAGCAACGCAACATTCTAAGGTAATAAAATTGTTGAATTATGTTGGAACTTTATTTTTATTCTTACCCACTTGCAAAAAACGCCATTTCAAACATGTTTGAAGTGAAAGCAAAAGACAGCTGACAGTCTAACCACCTAGGCAAGAGGGATATCTTTTCTTTTTAAGCTACATGGAAGTTTTCTCTTACTTTTGGTGACTGATAGCTCTTCATAATGCCCTGATGGCATCATCCTGAACTCCACTGTCTTGTTTTAGAGCACAGGCTATATCATGGGCGTAGAAATTCAAGCAGAATACAACAGACACTAGTATGGCAATATGTATAAACATGGCTGTATAACCAATATGATCCTGCAATCTGTACACGTGGAAAAATAAGAATTCATACCTCATTTGATTCAAATGTATGATATATGATATGTCAAGATCATTGTAATGTTTGAGCAACTAATAAAAAAAATCAGGATCCAAAAAAAAAAAAAAAGAAAGAAAAGAAATTCAAGCCAGGAAACCTTAGGGCTGTTGGGAAGTTGAATAATACATTCCCGATTACAGAGATGCTTACACTGTCTTCTAATCACACTTTGCATTACAAAATATTCTCATAGCACTTATAGAAATGGATATAACTGATATTATGTTTGTGATGTCTGCATTTACACTCATGGAAGTTTATTAGAGGGACAAGAATGTGGTAGCATTTGGATGCAGGAGTCAGAAACTTGACTAAACTTTGCATTTACTAGCTGTGTGACTTTGAATAAGTCATCTAACTTCTCTGAGCTTTGGCTCCCTCCTCTGTAAACTGAGGTTTGGATTAGATGACTTAGCCAACATCCAACATTTTCTATGATATGTTTAACTTTTTAAGATTCCATTTCCACAACTAGGAAACTGTTTATAAAACTAACTATGCTTTTTCATCACAGAATTGTCTTCAGGATCAAAAGAAAAAAATATATGGGAAGGTTGGGGATGTACCTCAGTGGTAGAGCACTTGCCTAGTGTATGCTGAGGCCCTGGGTTCCATCCCCAGCACTGGAAAAAATCATATATAAATAAACATTTCATTATATATATAATTTATATATAACTATTATGTATATTATATTTTATTCATATATAAATATCATTTTATGTTTATATTCACAAATAAATATAGTGATTTATTGTGTATTTTATTATATTATTCCATAAAATACTCTTTTATACAATAAAACAGTATTTTATTTATATATATTTATACATAATTAAATATAGTATGTGCATGTGTGTATAAAAGAGCTTTGGACATTGCAAAGTGCTATGCAAATGTAAGATATATTTAAAAATAAATAGTCACATGCATAATATCTGACTCTTTTGCATGTCCACTTAATCTGGACCCGAGGTTAGAAACAGCAGAGTTAAGACTCCAGTATGCCGATCCCTCTAAAGATCATTTTGAAGGCTGGGAGTTGTTTCCATCTTTGACAAGCTGCAGAAGACAGCTAAAGTCCAGACAGAGAAACACTGTTCACTGTCAGAAGTGAAGAATCTCTTGATGTCACAATGCACAATAGGTTGTTGTTGTAGTCTGCCCTTTTTACCACCCCAAGCCAGAGTGTCCCCCAAGAGCCCACACAGAACATCTTTATGCAGAGACGTCGTCTTGGGTAAAGCGGCCTGTCTATAGAGGTGAGGCACCATGGCCTCCCAGAATCACACCATGTGCCATGACACACCAGGTCTGTTAAAGCTCAAGGAGTAAAACAG